TTTTAGGCTTAGGGTTTAGGGGTTTATAGGGTTTAGGTTACTACCTTCTATAATAGGGGCCTTCATACTTATGATCGGGTTTTAGGCTTAGGGTTTAGGGTTTAGGGTACCCCCCCCAAACCCTAAACCCTATATGCCTTAAGACAGCGGGTTTATGAAGGCTTCGCAGGGGAGCAGGGTTCCTTGGATCTCAAACAATGACAACCTCTTGGAGGTTCATGGCACTTAGTAAGTACAGTTACAAATCCCTTGACTGGGAATATAAGTCATGATACGTATGATGTATAGCAACAGTTAGTAAGTCTCAGGATCCTACAAGCAAGTTTAACTTTGGCAAGATGTCGTTCCCGAATGAGGTTATAGAGGTCAACTACTCAGCTACTCAGCGTCCCCAACAGGGTTTAGGGGTTTAGGGTTTAGGGTTTACGACCCTAAACGCTAAACCGCACAGGAGCCCCCAACCTGCTCGTGGAAGCCCAGCTTCTCTTGCTGAGCTCCAAGGCGTTTCCTGGAGAGAGGGGCTTCAGGGGTGTTTAGAGTTTTGGGTTTGGGTTTAGGGTGTGATCAGGGCTTTCGTTTCAGGGCTTTGGGATCAGATTTCTTTAGAGCGTTTAGGGAGAAGTTTAGGGATGTGTAGTTATTGTAGTTGGGGATTTAGTTTCTGGCTTAGGGATCAGTTTAGGGGGTTTAGGAATTCAGGTTAGGGTTTACCTGGAGTCTCCACTGTAGTTCCTTCTTTGTTCCGGATCCGAAAAATATATATATATATATATAACTGGTTAAACCAAAACAAGGAACTACAATGGAGACTACAGGTAGAGTTTAGGGACTGGGTTAGAAGGCCATTGGCATTTTATCACCGCGCACACCATCTAGGACTTATTGTAGACCCACGCTCATGAGTAGACCCAGTAGAAACCCAATTAAACGGCCTGTTCTAAGCTTTATCACGCACTCAATCCCAGAAACTGCACCCCGCGACCTATTCTAGGCCTATAGGCCTTGGCGTTGTGAAAACCCGTACGCCGTAACACATCGAAAAGCCATAGTAGACAATCTCAAACTGCCAGGGTAAGAACATGAACATTGTCTATTCTCAAAAACCTGCAGTAGGAATAAGGTCGCCCATCTTTCACGCTCTTTCTCTTCCTTCCTGAATCTTCGGTATTATGTTCGTCCCTATATATTTCAGGGTCCGAAAACGTGGCCGGGGCACAGCCGCTCGATCTCAATCTCGACGGTTGCGATGCGGACGCTGAGCCTAGCCTTTCGGGTGTCAAAAGGGTTTAGGGTTTTTGGGGCTTATAGGGGTTAAGGGTTTAGAGCTTTTCGGTTTAGGTTTCAGGGAAATTTATGGTTTAGGGTAGGCTTTCTCTAAGGGTTGGGTTGCCTTAAAGGCTTCTAATAAGGTTTCTAGGGGTTTAGCGAGACCACCATGAGAGCCAGCACCCTGAACCCCAAAAGCCTAAACCCTAGACCCTCGACCTTGCAACACTAACCGTGAAGCCCTAAACCTTAAGTATCAAACCCCAACGCACTCAGCTTAGAATGGGGTTTTGGGGCCCACTATACCATATAGTTATAATAAGGACCCCCCCCCCAAAAAAAATAGTTTTGCTACTACAAATAAAAATAACAATGCTCAGAAGTGCTACAGCTCAGTGGATGAGCCATGTGGCTGCCAGAAGATAGAACTATAGGGTCCTTTTTATAAGGGTTTAGGGGTTTAAGGTTTGGGGTTTAGGGTTTAGGTTTTAGGGTTTTGGCTCAACCTAAAACCTCAATTCCCGTGTCCTTGATCCTGAATCTAAACAGCTCTCAGAACCTCAGCTTTTAGGAATTCGAGGTTTCAACTCCAGTCTCTATACTTTCCTAAATCATGTTCGACGTGTTTTGCCTTAAATTTCAAACCACACTTCAGGGTTTAGGGGTTTAGGGTTTAGGGCTTTAGGGTTTAGGGTTTAGGGTTTAGGGTTTAGGGGTTTAGGGTTTAGGGCTTTAGGGTTTAGGGATTATAGGGTTTAGGGTTTAGGGATTATCATTCCTCCGGCCCAGGATCCACAAGGATGCGAACAGCTACCTGAGTGCAGATGGCATCGAGAACCTGCAGGCATGGCCCAGGTTCAAGAGACAAGATGGAGGGTGGTTTAGGGTTTAGGGGTTTAGGGTTTAGGGTTTAGGGGTCTAGGCGTTACTCCGGAAGATCCAGAGTTTCGGGCTGTCTCAGGGCTACACCCTAAAAACCCTAAGAATGCTAAAGGTCTCTGTGGGTTTGGTCTTTGCAGAGGTTTGGGGCTTTTTTCCTGGTTTTATTGTAGGGTTCATGGCTGCGTTTTCTGAAGCAGACACCCCCAAAACACTCAACCCTAAACCCTAAACCCTAAACCCGAAGCCCAAAAGACCTGCCTTTTCAAGGACTTGTACAAGGAAATCCTATCAAGAAGCCCTCAAGAGGTGGGTTTCTTAGGGTCCAGGTGAGTAACATGAAATTCTGACCCTTTAAAAGGAACCCGCAAAGCCCTATTCTAATTATGAAGGCCCCTATATAACCCCAAACCCTAAACCCTATGCAAGATGGGAGTGGTAAGTGTTAGCGTCTAGAGACATTGGTTTGGAGCTTTGGAGGCTTCCGTGTAAGACCCTGTAAGCCTTAAGGGCTTTGGGTTTTAGGGCTTCAGGGTTTTAGGGTTTAGGGTTTTAGGGCTTATATATATGTATATGTAGAACCATGCCGCATCACATCCCATGCATGGGAAAGGTGTGCAAATTGGCACGTGTTGTTACATGTGATGTATGTATACGTATAATATATGCATGTATATGCATGTTATATGTATCTATAATACATATTTCTATATACAGCCCTAAAAACCCTCTATATAGACAAGCCTCATTTATTCAGACTTATACCGACCCCCTGCAAAACACTTTTAAAGCCCTTAAAAACCCAAAACCTTCTAGAGGTACATAGCTTATATCCCAAAGCCCGTATATATTTAGGATTATATAAAGGTTCTAAGAGTTTAAATTGTAGGGTTTAGAGTATATATTGGTTCCCAATTGAAATGATTGCAATGGGAGAGGATCATGTAGGTATAACCCTGCAGATATTATAGCCGCGGTATATATGTAGCTCATGCAACCCCCGCAATTCCCACCGTACATGAGGTGCAACCGCTTACTCCGCCGCCTCGACATCTTCGTGCTGCAGGTGCTTCAGGGCTTTCTGCATGGGCTTGCGTTGCACACCCAACGTAATCTATGATGGGCTCTGAGGGTTGGGCACATGGTGGTCCATTCGTTCATGAGCTGAGCAGCAAGCTTCTTGACGGATGTTCGTGGCTCGAGGACTGCAAGGACCGTGCGATGCGACTGCTTCTACACACGCAAATATATATGGTGTGAATATTCGACTAATCATTGATAGACATTCACAGAGCCATGTTGTGCCCATGCGGGCTTCGTTGTTAATTGTAATCCATGGAGTCCAGGCAATATATATGTTAGCAAAGACATATTAGAGATGCATTCTTGAAGGAAGCAGGAAGCTCGCGCGGTCCGCTTTGGTCCGCGGATTTGCGATCGCATGCACCCATATATACAGGGAGTTTGGAATTTCACAGCTTCACAGATTTTCGGGAAATGCAGCATGGTGTGTTTCACTTTTGCAGGGGTTGCATTGCGACTGCATCTTGACCTTACGAACCGGCCATGCATAGTTTCAAGCTTCAGGGGTCATGTGTGGGCCTGCCATTTTTGAAGGGGATCCTTGTTTCGGTTGGGGTTTTGCGCCATGGCAGATGAGAGCTTGGAAGCGGGGGGGCAAGGTTTCGGGGTGAAGGACTGCACCTGGATGCCGGAAGCGGAATGGGTGGATGTCGCGGTGGAGGCGGAGGTCAAGGATGAGTCGGACGAAGAGGACAAGAAGTGGTGGATTAAGCAGGAATGGAAGGAGGACGAATGCAAGGAGGAGGAATGGAAGGAGGAGGAGGAATGGAAGGAGGAGGAGGAATGGAAGCTGGAGGAGGCATGGAAGCAGGGGGACTACAAGGTCGAGGGCTGGCGTGGAAAGCGGCAGCAGACATGGCGCCGTGACGACTGGCCGTGGAAGTGGGCGAAGACGGAGGAGGATGATGGGCGGCTCCTATGCAGAAATATACAAGATTTGCTCCTGCAGCAGTATATATAGGCTTATATATATATACAGGTTCAATGCATATATATAGGTTCATACGTGTACACATTTATAACGAGCTGCAGTTGGGTTCGCCATTGAGGCATTCGTCGCGAAGCTGCAGCAGTGGCTCCCAGGTGAAGCGCAACATGTACGCTGATGGGGGCTTCTACGACCAGAATGGTTGCTGGCATCCGTGTCTTGCACTGTTTGCATTTTTTTTATTGCCGTATTCTTTGTACACTGTCTCGGCTTCAATTGATATGACCTTGACAGTTGTGTATATACTCTCATATATACATACACATACATATATATTTCCAACTTCGCATGGTTTCTCTCGTGAACATATATATATATGCATATAATCTATATGCATATCCAAGTATGCGGACCCCATATATATATATATATATATATAGACACACCCCATATAAGTTGAGCCTCGCGTGTCAGGCCTGGGCAAGGACGCTCGAAGCCCAGGGTGAGGGCCGGCCACAAGATTCAGCACAAGCGGCGGAACCAGGCCGAGCGTGAGATCCTGCACAAGAGCGTGGAGTCCATCCATACCATGGTGGGCATTCTGGCTCGCCGTGTCTGAGGCCTTGCCCTGCGGAGGAGTTGGCAGTTCGACATATATATATATATACATACACACATGGACATATATATATATATAGATGACATCGAATGGAGACTCTCAGCTCCTCTTGAAATTGATGCGCGTGCTGTAGAGATGGGAGTGCATCATGTGGATCTCGAGGTATCTATAACTATATAGGTATAGATATATCGGGTTCATATATATATATAGAGGGTTTATAGTAGGGTTTAGGATCTGGGTATGTGTTTGCTTATCTTCCTTTATATAATCCTTTCTAAAGATCTACATGGGAAGTTCGGCATCATCCACATGCTGTGCTTGCCGAAGTGCTGCACATGCCTGGAAACTGGGCAGGGTCTGTTGTCAGTGTGCATGCATACAAGCATCTGGCATTTTGAAGAGGGCTCAGTTCCAGGTGCGCAATATCCGACAGTGTTTGTGAGCTTCTGCAGAGCCGTGCACGGAGTCCGAGATGCACATATGTACAGCAGAGAATGCAATAGATACATAAATGCAGTGAAGACATGCAGGACTCCTTGCATGGCGACTTGTCTCTCATGCGGCCTAGAAACGGAGGCTGATGGCAAGCCTCAGCTTCCGTGATCCCGTGTGTGTGTGCGCATGCCCATATACAACCTATATACTTTGCAATCGATGTCTCTATCATGTTGTCTCTATATATGTTTTTCTTTGTATATCAACATTTTTTCTAAGGGTATAGGGTTTAGGGTTTAGGGTTTAGGGTTTAGGGTTTAGGGTTTAGGGTTTAGGGTATATGTATATATGCATATATACATTTGTTTATAGACGCACACGTGGCAGCTGCCGCCCGTATATTGCATTGTACAGAAAGCATCCCGAGCCGCAGGCCGACAACAAGAATCCGGGATTTAAGGGTTTGATTGTTCACATCAGGCAATTGTATAGCTATATACGAGCCTTGTTTTCGATTGGATGCAAATGTTTGCAAGAGGTGAACCGGGTAAGTCTCAGCACTTCCGACCACAGAAACCAACAAGCCCAAACCTCGTTAAAGCCTTGCACGAAGCCAAAAGCCCTTTCTCTATATAGCCCTCGTGTATATGCTGTGTTCCAATCACGAAGGTGCGCTTCGCCCCTTTCGGCCGCCCTTCGATGCGAGGCCGTTTTGTAGACAGGTTGCTTTATATAGGGTTTATATATGGGTTTGTCTATAGGGGGGTTGTGTGAATGCTATGGTTCTGGGTTTGACAGCATTGGCTGGATTCTGCTTCATGCAGGGTGTATATACACGAGCCTTATACATGTGTACATATAGTCCTGCTGACAACCTTTTTCAACTCAATGAATTCTCCAAAGTAGCTATCTATCCATATATATATATATATGTATCTACATATTATGTTTATGGCCTGCATGAAAGGGGCATATAGGCTTGCGGGCTTGCGGTTGGGGCTCCTATATATAGATGGGTTTTGAAAGAAATCAATCCAGAAATAGGATTCAACT